TGAAACATAATCAGGGCCATTAAAATAACGTAGAATGTTATTTTTTTCTGCTTTGAAAGTTTTGTGTTTGTTCAGATTTGTTGGTATGAACCTGTTTTGTATTTTAAACACCCACGGGGAGACTGGCTGTGCCCTAAACTTCGAGAAGGTCGGAGGTCAGCCGTAGACCTGGTTCACTTTTGTGACCCAAAGACACTCCAATGTCATGTACTTGCTGAATGATGATTCTGTGTGCATAACTCAAAGACCAACAGGTGGCAGCATACACCTCACACACAGCCAGACAACAGTAAGTGTGTCAGAGAGGAAAGATTCCCCCCTGCAGAAACAGGATGTGTCCAGACATGGGGGTTTGTAAAGTCATGTGATCCCGCTCTGCTCCTCCTCATCTCTTATGTAATCCCCATCTCAGCCATGTGCTCCCCCTATACCACTGACCTAAATGTGGTAATTGTCACCAGTTACCCGCACAAATACACATTTTTCACTTCTAGTAATTGACGCACACATGACAGAGGTGACTTTGGGTGATGTTGCACATGGCTGAGACCATGAAGGAATGACAGTGTGCAGCATTATGAGGTGGATTCTCCAGCCTACACACATGCCTTTGTTCATACGCCTGTAGTTCACAGAGGCAGCTGTCACACCACTTCCTCATTGTCAGTGTCTGGTGAAAAATTACATTGTTTTTTTCCACTGTGGATGATCATTAAAATCGAATGGAGTGTCATGAGATCAATTTACACACACTGAGGAACTAACAGCCATTGCAAGCCTTTGGAAAAGACCAGCATTGTGTAACAGGAAGAACAAAGACACAAAGGAATATTGATTAGGGTTTTAAATAATGAGCAAGGTGAGGTAAACAGGTTATTTTAGTGTAGCCTGAGGTTTGTTTATTTCTCCACGCACTGCATTCTTTCCAGCCTGTTTTGTGCTCTCCCTCCTCAACCAGACTGCTCGGTCTGTCTGTCACTCACTCCGCTCCAGCAGAGATGAACATTGTCTGGGCTCTTCTTATGGAGGCCCATTGACACCAAGACAAGGAAAAAATAAATGAAAGTATGCATCGAAAAAACTTATGGTGAGTCATACTACCTCATGATGTTGACTAAGTGAGTCAAAACCAGAGGTGATGGTGGACAATATAAACCCTCACCAAATAAATAAAAGAAAAAAGATTTTCAGGTGAAAAAAATAATTAACAATTAAAATTTTAAATATATGGTTAATCTATAAGATACATGAAAAATATAATTTTATAAAATAAATACATTTATTTTATAAAATAAATTAAAATTTATAAATAAATAAATTAATAAATAAATAACAACCTTGCTAATTCAGTAAGTCTTGTCAGTCATCTCAGCTGGTAGCGGCCCAGTTCCTAACATGATTGGCTAATCACCATCTATTGTCACCTTGGGGACAACAGTCTTATCTTTGCAAGCTGTGTGACTTTACATGATTCCTTGCTGAAGAAATTATGATAAATTTGTTGCTGCTAAATTGGTTTGTCTCAGGATAAAGTTAAGGCTTATGTTTTTACTGGACAGATAACACTGTACAACAGCACTGCCTCTGGATTTATATTTGCTCAGGTGTCTCCAGACTTCAGTAAAAAACAAAGATAAATCTATAAATATAATTTAAAGCAAAGAGTTTGTTGTATTTAAGTGTTTAAGTCACACAACAGGTTTACAAGTGTTTTGAAGTGTAATTCCCACGACATGGATGAGATGGTGATGTAAAGAGGAACATCACTGCCCTCCTTAATTGCAAATTTAGTGTAAATGAGTTCCCCCAATTTTTTTAAGTGACTTTAGACCCCCAACTTTAGGGCCACCACAGAGAGGTTCAAGAGATGTTACCTCTCCTCGAGAACATCTAAATCCTAAATGAGGATGTTTCCAAGGCTCCTGACACTCTACACCTCTGATATTGATACTGATACCATATTTCTTTTCACACTACTGTACATTCAACATTTAATTTTGTGCATATCTTATCATCTTATCTTTGTTGTATATATTTTCTGTGCTGCATATGTTGTACTGTTGTAGGTTATAAATTACATTTTTATATTTATATTTTAAGCACAGTACTGGAGGCGGCATACAGGCATTTCGGTAGACTAAGTCGAGAAACGTATGCGACAAATAAAAACCCTGAAGCCTGAATGTGAAATCCCAAGGAAAAGAGTAGGAAGTTGGTGTATTACTATCTCATATTATTCTGACATATCTCATATTTACTGTGCAATGATATTTATATACTCCTAGGTTTTTACAGTGAAAATACTACACACCATGTGTTTTACAATTATCTTGTGCAGTCAACCAGGGGTACACAGTATATGTGTCAGAGAAAGCTGTATACAGTGTATATAGATTTTTGATTATTTTTATTCTTATTTGATCTCATTTGTGTTTTTATAATAGAGTGCTCCAGGTGGACATTTTTTTGGTAGGCTGACAAGGAAGCTCTGTGGCAAAAATTTTTTTATGATACTTACACGTTTTGTTCAGCAAGATAATCTTAACAAATAAACGCTACATATGATTTTTGAAACCTATATGCAGTCACCAGAAGTAAAAAGCTAATGTTAGGCTATAAACAAATCACACCATGGTTGCATAATTTAACATTACCACAACATCAAGGCTGTAAAGCGTGTTTGGCGTGATGATGTTCTGTAATCTCATTTAGTCACTTGTTGCCAGCTGCCTTTTTAAGACACATAAAAGCTTTAAAAGTTACAAGTGTGATATATACTTACAGTTGCAATCAAATTTATTCAACCTCCATTGCATATTAGGCTTATTGGCAAAATGTACAATTTTTCAGCTGTTTGCAATAAACAAAGTAGACAAGAACAGTTGAAATAGTTTAATAAAACTAATATTACCATGGTTTTTATCCAAATTCAACACAAAATGCTACTTTTAATCACTACTGCAGTCTCAAAATTATTCAACCCCCTGTCTCAAGCACACCTGATGCAACTAATCACAATTATTCAACCCCCTGTTTCAAGCACACCTGGTGCAACTAATCAAGGGCATCATTAATTCAGGTGTGCTTGAGACAGAACACATAAATACCTGGACTGGCTAGGGTTTTGTTGGGAGTGACGTTTGATTGCATGTTAGAAATATGGCTAAGTCAAAAGAATTGTCCAAAAAGTTCAGAGAAGAAATCATTGCCTTGCACAAACAAGGAAAAGGATACAAAATGATAGCAAAAGCTCTGAATGTTCCTAGAGATACAGTTGGAAGCACAGTTCGCAAGTTCAAAGTTAAAGGAACAGTGGCTACACTACCTGGATGTGGCAGAAAGAGGAAACTATCAGCGGCTGCCACCAGATTCCTGAGGAGGCAAGTGGTCAAAAAAAAACCTCGAGTGACTGCAAAACACCTGCAGCAAGACTTGGTGGCAGCAGGCACTGAGGTTTCAGTTTGTACAATAAGGCGCATACTCAACACCGAAGGGCTCCATGCCCGGACTCCAAGACGTACACCACTACTGACCCAAAAGCACAAGAAAAGTCGGCTCCAATATGCTCAAAACCATATAAATAAGCCACAGAAGTTTTGGAATTCTGTTCTGTGGAGTGATGAAACAAAACTGGAACTTTTCAGGCCTATGGAACAGTGGTATGTCTGGAGGAAGAAGAATGAAGCATATGCTGAAAAGAACACCCTGCCTACAGTGAAGCATGGCGGTGGCTCAGTGATGCTCTGGGGCTGCTTTGCTGCCTCTGGCACTGGAAACCTGCAGCGTGTGGAGGGCACGATGGATTCAGTCAAGTATCAGGAAATCTTAGGTAAAAACGTTGTGCTGTCTGTGAGGAAGCTGAAGCTTGGGCGTCATTGGACCTTCCAACAGGATAATGATCCCAAGCATACCTCAAAGTCCACCAAGGCTTGGTTTCAGAAGAAGAAATGGAAGATTCTAGAGTGGCCGTCACAGTCGCCTGACTTGAACCCCATAGAAAATCTCTGGTGGGATTTGAAGAAGGCAGTTGCAAAACGCACACCCAAGAATATTACTGAACTGGAGGCCATTGCCCATGAGGAATGGGCTAAGATTCCTCAGGAACGCTGTCTGAAGCTGGTGTCTGGCTATGCATCACGTTTGCAGCAGGTCATAACAGCAAAAGGGTGCTCTACTAAGTACTGAAGATGCTTGTCATGAAGGGGTTGAATAATTTTGAGACTGTAGTAGTCATTAAAAGTAGCATTTTGTGTTGAATTTGGATCAAAACCCTTGTAATATTAGTTTCATTGAACTACTTAAACAGTTCTTGTGTAATTTGTTTATTGCAAACAGCTGAGAAATTGTATATTTTGCCAATAAGCCTAATATGCAATGGGGGTTGAATAAATTTGATTGTAACTGTATGTGTATTATGTTGTAGAAAAAACGTGAAAGTTTCTTAAGGAAATAAATTATTAGTTAATCAAAAACCCATGAAAAAACAACCATTGACTTCAAGATAGGGGAACAAGGAGTGCAAAAATGCTAAATAACTTCTGGGTTTTAGGACTCATTCCTAGGGTATTCTAGATTTTATATTATTTTTATGTTAACTAATTTATATTTTTGTTATTTTTTTAAAATCCTATTTAACACTAAATAACTTTTTCCTTTTTTTTTTTTTAAAAAAAAAAGTGGATTTCCCTAGTGTGGGATTAATAAAGTCTTGCTTATTTTTTTAATGAATGAATTTGATTTAATTTAATTTAATTCAAGTCAATTCAATTTAATTTTATCTGAAATTATTTTATTCTCTACTGAGTATCTCATAAGATTGACTCAATAAATAAAATTTAAATGTATGTTTTTTATATTCTACATAACTTCATTCATTCGGTTGGCTTTTTGTTTCGGCACTAATCGGCTTCCATACTTTCTCCACTTACACCAATCATAACAATAGGAGGGGGCGGGGCCACTCCAGGTTAGGTTGTCACTCTCATTGGGTAAATAACAAACCACCCACTTATTTTGTAGGCTACCGCTGGGGAGTCACGAGAAGTTTAACGTTAGCGAAGCTCCACTGTTTAATGACCCAGAGGTGAGCGGGGATGACACAGGTGAACCCGATGAGAACGACTTCACTGGGAGGGTTTCTGGTGAGACGCGGGCTCCCACTTTGTTAGCCCACCTGCACTCGGGGTGCTGTAGAGGAACCGCTGTGGTGCTAGCTAAGCTCGTTAGCCGCTAACTACCGCAGCTAATATCGAGCTAACTAGCCGCGTCGCCCGAGTGAAGTGAGCAAGTCGCGGCGTGTGAAGCTAACCGCGCCGAGGCTACTTTTGGAGGGATACCGAGTCGGATATATTCCTTGGAGGGATTCGTGCTGCCAACTCTTTGCCAGGTGTATTTTTGCGCCTCTCCTCTTGCCCTTTTTTCATTGTTGGCGGAGCGTCCTGACTGCACACCGCTGTCTCCATGCATGCTAGCAACGGCTGCAACCGCCAGCTACAGTGATGTGTCACATTAGCTAACGAATCTTTTTTTGACCATTTGTGAGTGGATGCTGTCACTGGTACGAGCTTTTTGGAGACAGACGGGGTTGTATCATCCCACCGTGACGCCCGTGTATTAACTGTACTTTCATGTCGTATCACCCGACAGCTAGTTGTCCCTCCAGAAGAACCAGACGCGGAGCATGCAGGAGAAGAAAAGACCACAGATAAGTAGATAGGGGACGTCGGACACAACCGAGTTAAATTGGACTGTGTGGTTAATCTACCACCAACAACTGGGATTGCATTTGGTGGCCGGACTGACAGAGAAAGTACGAGGATGAAGAAATTTTCTAGAATGCCAAAGTCCGAGAGTGGAGGGCTCGGAGGGGCGTCCGGGTCCGGCTCCAGCTCCGGAGTCAGCAGCTACTTCGGGAAAGTGTTTGCAATCGGGCGGTTCCAAGTCACCGTGGAAGAGCTCATTGCAGAAGGTATGTGCATTAATACAGCCTGTTTACAGTGTTCTCACATAAAGCACCATGACACTCTCTGGGACACACCCGTCACCCTCTGTTTGGAGAGAGCAACTTTCACAAACCCAGCAGTGAGGCAACTCCTTCAGCTTTATTCCTTTTATGGGTTGGTAATTGGTTTGCACTCCACTGTAAAAGCTCAGTTTCCCCCCTTAAACATCTGCTTATTTCCCAAGAAAATACACGCAGAGTGATTGAAATAGGTCGCGCTTCTCTTCCAGGCTGTGAACGCTTTGGTGCCTAAACTGGGGCACCAGGGATTTGGTACATAGCTCGACTTGAAACGTGTAACTTCTCCCCATACAGCTGTAGCTTACATCCTGCTTCAGCTGCTCCACTGAGGGGGTTTGCCCCCAGGGTAACAACGGTCCAAGTTCCCTGTGTCAACATACAGCATGTAAAGATCCAGCCATTAAAAAGATCACTCTGTCCACCAAAGAAGTTCTTCTGCACTCCTCTTTTGTCCCATGAGGATTTTTTAGTTACTATGAAAAGTTTTCCTCTCTCTGCAGCTGTTAAAATGTACAAAGACTAGTTTCTTTTTAGGCTGGCAGAGAGAGACACCACAGCTTTTTATTGGCATGTCTAACTTGATCAGATTGCATACCATTAAAACAAGTAACAGTGCTTGCTAGATAAACACATTAAGGATGTCTTATGCAATGGCTGTGTGTACCCAGTACAGCTCTTGAGGATGTCGACAGGCTTTCTGGAAACGTAAGACATTTCCTTCATGGCTTAACCAAACCCCGCGTCCAGATATGTTGAAACGAGAATCTCCTCCATATACAGTCACACAGGCGGAGAATGGGGAAGTGTGGAAACAGACATGTTTCACAAAGCAGCTGTTCTTTCGCAAATGGTTTAGTGCTTATCACGGTGTGTTAATTAGAAACATTCTTTGATTTATAGAGCCGCCCCGACCAACCCAGCTTTGCCAGTTAGTGAGCTAATTGGTCATTAGGGTCTTTTCTTTACCAGGAAGTCGTCATATTTTTATGCTCTTTATTCCAGCATAAGGTGATACTAATTAGACATTATTGGAAAAGTGTTGACAAATTCCACCCATCAGAATTAGATTCACAAATATGCTTTAGTCTTTAGTGTTTAAAAGATCCCTCTGCAGTACCAGTTCGACTGTGGAGGGGTGAACAACAGGTTTTTCTTCTACATAAATCAACAAATTAATTACTCAAATTCTGTCGAGTGTTTGAGGATTCATTAAGTCAAGGTCAGCCCACGTGATATAAACTTGGAGCAGTGCAGGTGGGTGAAAGGGAAACTATTCTCACAGACAACACAGTGCAGAGCAACTCCCACCTGACTTTAACTGGAAAGATAAGTGAAACAAAGTTAAGAGGTGTTATTAAAAAGATTTTGTTTGTGTGCTATTAGTGTCACTGAAGCCATAATCCATCTTTAAATCACTAGGAGTAATGAACGCCAACTAAATGTTCCAGATGTTTAGTGAGCATTGTCTCCTCAAGTAACGCAACACTGTAAACATGCCATTGAGTCAAACTGTAAACCTGATCTCACTTGCCCAAAAAGAAAAAACAACCACGCACGCACACACACGCACACACACACAACCCTTCCTGCAAGCAGTCATGAGTCTGTGTCATCATATAATCATGTGAAGTGGCTGTGGCTGGTTTTGCTACCAGGAGCACAAGGTTACATTGTGACCTTTGCTCATCATTTCTGTTCCAGGGGTAAGAGCTGGGTGTCTGCGCCTGTCAGGGCGGCACGTTAATCACGCAATTGTCTATTTGATTTCACTTACAGTGTCTGCTGCATTTGGATGGGGACAGAGTGTAAAAGCCAGATTCAAAGAGGAGAGTATTGCTCCTCAGTCATTAACGTGGAGTTTAAGTGCTAGGTGTAAAATCTGCTTAAGGAAGTAGCTGTTGGGAGACTTGTTTAGAGTGAAACTTAATGCTTATCAGAAACAAAATATGTCATGTGATAGTTACAGTATCAAAAGCAGGAAGGGTAGAATTCAGACGATATTTTTAAAGTGTTAAAAAGAGAAATTTCACAATAAAGTGCATTAAATTTATCAAGATCAGTACTTTCTTCAAGGATTCAAAGTTGCCTGTTTTAATGGTTGAAACCATTTGTACTCTGTTATCTTAGAAATAGTGCAAAGTACCACACTTGAAGAAAAACTTGCTTCAGTAGAAATAAAATGACTGTTAATAAAAAATACTCTTTTACAGCAACCGCAGCAAATCAATTAATTGCCTCCACCACTTCACATGCACTCATCATGTAGGCTTTTATATAAATATAGCACTGTACGGTGTCATGACTGCTTAGGCAGCTGAGTACTGTACTTTTTCTGTCAGTGGTGGTCCCATGTGCTGCCCGTTCAGCAACACAGGACCTCTACCTACCAACCTACTGTTGCAGATTCTTTACACAGGTTTGGGGTTTGTGGCTTGAACCACTTGGCAGGTAACCAGCCATCATTTTGATGTCCTGATCTATTTAAAAACCTTCTATGCTGGGAACGTGGTAAACGTGTCAAGGTTAATTTTAGGATTTACCTGCCATCGTGGCCCAGAGACCACCAAGTAACTGCATCAGGCATGTTTAGAAAAGTGTATTCAAACTTTGAAGGTTTCCTTTTTCTTGGCCAGATGAGAATAATGACATTTGAAGTCAGATGAACAGTTGGTAACTTCATCAGACCCGAGGATGCACATTGCAGTTGTCTTGAACCATTTGTAGTTTGTCAGAAGTGAAAACAGTCTTAATTGACTGTAGCAGTCTGCCATAACTTGAGGTTTTTTGGTGTAAAGGGAAACCAGGGCTGTTATCATAGCAGCGGTTCCTCCTTGTAAAAAAGTTGTCGTGACTGAGGCAAAACCACAGAATAAACTGATGCTCATGTTGATCTGTTTTGTTTTTCTAACATATTGTGTCCATTTGACTGAAAAGTGACTTTTTCTCATCATACTTTATTTACTCTTTGGGCACATGCTTTTTCTATACATTTAGACTGCACTACAACAGTAGTCCCATGTGCCTAAAGTCTAAATATAGGTTGATAAGAAGATGGCTGTATTTCAGAGACCACAAGAAGCACAGTCAAGTATTTGTGAACTTAAAACAAGTTGAATATCAAAGATATGCACACATGTGCCGTGTTAAAAAATCATATGAAAGACACTGATAAACACAACACAGTTTTAGTGTTTTTCTCTTTAAAAAAAAAATCTAACTTTTACTAATGATAAGTTTAATTTTTCATGTGAGCCAAGAAATTCAAAGTTGTACTGTTACATTCTTGCACAAAGTATGTCCGACAAATTTGCTAACCATACTAACGTTTATTAACGTTGCAAGCACTGTCCTAATAATACCTAATATGTTAGATTTTATCTCAATATTGTAACTTTTGCAACGTTTAATGACTCAAATTCTCATTTTTGACTTGCACGATTTTTCTTTCTTTTGATATTTAACAAGCATTGTTGGAAGGAGCCTGAGATCTAAGATTTTCATCGTCAACAAACTGCTTCTCTGTGATTGTTGTGCGTATGTAAATAAATAACTTGAATAAACCTGTTGCGGGCACAGGGTAACTTATGTGACTGATGTCCAGGCACTGAGTAGATCATGTGGTTTCTGAAAGGCTCATCTTCCTCTTCCTTATTCAGCTATTATCCAGCAGCTGTGCCAGTTTAATGAAAAGCACAAGATTCTCCTAAAGCCAAACACACAGCTATAGTTTGCTGGAGAAGAGAAACTGCTGATGATTGGGTATCTTTGCTCCAAACACCACCTCCTCCAAATATGTTCAAATTAAACTTTTGTCAGGCTTAAAACTTCTCTTGCTGTCATGTTGTTAGATATTTTTTTCCAGTGACATATCTGCAGAGCTAGACAGTTCCTACATTGAGTAGGAACATAGTCATTTCCCTCCACTCCCCTTTTGCCTCTGTGGTTTCTCTTGAGCTCTATCTGCTGCCGTCTCCAAGAGGAACACAGAAATGACATGTAGGAACAGGATGCATCTGTGAGCATCCCGTCACCCTTTTCTCCACTAACTGTAATCATTTGGGGTCCCTCCTTAGGGCCTGGATGTTTAGGAAATGAGGAAGCATTAATTTGATAAATTATGGGTTTGGGAAGTTTGGTAGTTGCACAAAAAGCCAGACAAAGTTTGGGGAAAATCGTAGTAGACACAGAGTAACTGCTGCTGTTTGGAAGAATTTTAAAGATTTCAATGCATAGAAATATATAGTAATAGATATACCTATCTTTAAATATTTATTTTCTGTCAAAAGCCACTGTTTAAGATGGCAGACAGACTGTTCCTAAACTGATTGTGTTGCAGTCAGAATATTTAATTAAGCTATTTGCTGAGCTACAACGAAGCATTTAACAGATAACTGCCTCTGGAACATGTCTTGTTGTCAGTTTAACTTGCATAATCGCCGTTATGTCACTGCTGTTTACTCACCAGACCACCACTACGTTACATGACTGCTGTACTGTACCTACCTCTCTCACTGTAGGTACAGGGCAAACAGTTCGTGTTTGCATCAGTTGGTAAGTTCTTGGTCAAACGTCACTGCCTCTTTCTAATTAACAGGAAGACCTTGGCTCAGGGGTTTCACTTCCTATGTTTGCAGTTTTACATGCATCCTAACAGTGAGGTTATAATTCATCACTGCCTCGTCTAATTAGGGTCACCTCCATCTTCTAAGCTAACTTTGTGCTTCATCGTGGCACCCTGCGTCTTTTCATGCAACATTTTAACCGTCTTCATATAGAAAGCTTGACTCTCAGCTGACTGGTTCTCTTGAGTATTGTCTGAGCTTTTTAAGTGACACAAAAAACATTTTCTCTGAACATGCTGACTTCACACAAATTTCCCCGTTGCTTGCTGTCAGCAGAATCTTGAAGCGTTTACACCGGAGTATGTCATGGCACTCTGTAAGCCC